GGGAGGATGCAGCGTAGGTAGTCCAGAAACCAAGTTCTCAGGGAATTCACTTTAATGTTGGTACTGTCACAAAGGTAATCTGAGTGTTGTCTTTCTGAGAAATAGTGACAGTTGTGTGATCCTGTTAATATGAAGTAAATCAGCTGCAGTAGTGTGGTCCAAGAGGAATTAGATATTATTAACATACCAGTTTTGTACCACTTTTCATTGTAGAGAAGAAATTCATAGTTATAGTGTAAACATTAAGAAAACCCAGGAATGGACTTACAGATAGTATGTATTAAATGAGATAGCTATATTTCTGCAAGTGGTAGTATAGAATTCAGCAGTAACTTCGCAGTGTTAACTATCAAAAGATTAGTAATGTTTTATGGTTATACTATTAAAGATACAGGGCTTGGGAATGGGGGAACGCAAAAGGAGAGCTTTGAAACGAAAAAGGATGATATTAGAAGGAGAAAAAAGTGTTACAAAGAATGTTATTGGAGAGTAGAAGGATGTTTAAAGAACAGTAATGACAAACCCTTTAGAACTTTCAATGATACGAATAGCCCATTATGGCACATGTGCCATAGTCTCACCACCAGTTACAGAATTAAGTAAAGGTAAGAGGAAAAGCTACTGATAAAAAGAAGATAAAGAAGGATGGAAAAAAGAAAAGTTTAGTCAAGAGTAAAAACAAGAAAGAAGTAAAGGGAGAAAAGTTTAAAGGGAAAAGAGAAAAATTCTCTGTGACTTCAAGTGTCAGATTTTCTTCCAAGATCTAATTTTGGGGCGGTGTCCAATTCAAGACATGTTCCTGCTCACTCTGAAAGATAAGGCAGTCAGAGCCCAGATCCATGCTAGATGCAGTCATCAGCAGGCTGTAGGATTGGGATAAAAGTGCTAGTTCAGCAACTTTCAAGTGCAGATTTAGGCAGAGCCTGTCCCCAGGAGAGTGGGGCCTGAGTCCTTTAGCCTAAACTGCTCTGGTGGTTTCTTGCCAGCCTGACTGCAGCTTCCTGACCATGACTGTCTCCTGTGGCCGTCCCTCACTCAGTCACTGTGGAAGCGTAGCTTTGGGACCCCTGAAATGAAGCCCAACCTATGGCTGCTTTGAGTCCTGGGTTCAGTCATCCCCTCCTGGAATGGCATCCTGACATATTTTCCAGGAAATATGGCAGGCCAGCTGTTGCAGCATGCACCATGTGCTGGTCTGTTTCACTGCTGCATTTTACCCTGAAGGGCACTGAAGTCCCCACTTTCACTTTGTCTATAGATTATGGCCAGAAAAAAAGTACGGATTGCCCCTTTCTTTTTCCATGTTGTGTTCTTCCTCGTCAGTTTCTCTGTAGCCTTCATTTTTCCGAGTCAGATCCTCCTTGGGTCCCGGTAATCCACCTCTTTCCTTTTCTTCCACAGTTTGTTATTTTCCATTGTCTGGATTCCAAGTCTTAGTGAGTTGTGCTTGCCTCTGCTGTTTTCTTGGAAGTCCAAAAATCTTGCCTTATTTTTAAAAGTATGTTCTATCTTTGCAAATTTAACGTGTGCTTTTGAATAAAAGGTGTGTGTATGTGTGTGTGTTTTATTCCTCTGAGATACACCCTTTGCTCCCTGTGTACTCTTATTTTTGTGGGATGGAATATTCTGTAAATTTCAAGTCAAGTAAGTCGCTGTGGTTCAGATATTTTATATTCCTACTCACTTTCCATCTAGTTCTGTTAAGTATTGAGAAGTGTTGAAATCATCTGGATGTATGACTTTTTTCCTTTTTTTCTTTTCAGTTCTTTTTGCTTCATTTGATGTGAAGCTCCTTTATGTAGAATCTCGGTCTTCAGTTTTTTTCTGTCTCTCTACTGTCCAATTGCACATGTTGGATTGATTGATACTGTCACAGGTCATTTGAATTTATATAACCCTAATGTATAAACAACTTAAAAACTATAGAAAAATGGACTAAAAAGTCAGGGTAGCTCTTGGAAACGTAAATGACTAAATCATAGGAAAAGGTGCTAAAGTTACAGAGATACTTTTTCCTTATCTATGTTGTTGTCCTTATCTATGTTGTTGTCCTTAAGTATGAAATTTGTATGTTAGGAGAAAAGCTAATGTCACTCTGGAGTGAATACAAAGTGATACAACCTTCAGGGAGTGGAATTTGGCAATACCTATCAAAGTGACATGCTCACTTTGAGCTAGCCACTCTGCTACTAAAAATCGGCCTAGAAAACATACTGCACATATTCAGAACGTTATATACATAATCTTTCTAGTAGTTTTTTTATTTAAACAAAACTATAAACTCAAATGTTCATCAGTAAAGCTCCAGTCAGAAGAAGATGGTACATCCACTTAATAATGTTCCATGTAGTTAAAGAATGAGGAGACATCTGCTTTTAAGTGTAGCAGCTACTCAGAATCTCCTGTTTTTCAGTACTTAACACCAGTTTGTTCCTCCAGATAAATTCATGTCAGTTACATAAAACATTTTAAGGTTTGTTAGATACTTAAGGCTAAAGGAACTCCTGGTTGCTTGCACAATTTTGGAGGGAGGTTGCAGTTAAAGTAACATCTATTCTCATATCTGTCTAGAATATAAGCTACACATTCACATCTCCACAGAGATACAGATACCATGTGTAATGAATAAATTCCCAGGTCACAAGTAATAGTGTTGCCTTGGGAAAGAACATTCGGAATTCTAAATTGCTCCATTTTCCTGATTTGTCTTGTGTTGGTAACTCATTTGTTAATTTATCAGTTACTGAATTTTTCATTTTTTAAAAAAACATGCTGGTAAGGGAGTCTGCATTTGAGTTTGCAGAGGGAAGATTAATGTTGAGGGGCTGGGCTTCAGAAAATGAAAACAATGACAAAGTAACATCCCAGTGCTCAGGGAGTTCATGGCTGCTGACCTTGGCTTCTGCTTTCTATCTCTACCACTCTGTGATTTTAGGATTCTAACTTTAAACTGACATTAGATCCTGTGGTCCTGGATTCTTCACAGTCCAGATCCTGGAGAATGAATTTGCCGCAGAGCTAAATCCCCAGCCCCTCATTTTGCTCTTTCTAATGCTGAAATCTGTTGTTCCTCTGATTTCGTCACCTAGTACTTCCAGAGTAATGATGATGGGCATCATTGTCTTGAATCTGATGTTACTCTTATATATCCTTGGTGTTTTGTTGTTAAACATGGTACCATGTATTGGTTTGAGAAAGTTAAACATTCTAAAGGAAATTTTTTTTTTTTTTGCCTAGGGTATATTATTTTTCAAAGATCAAGTTGCCTATGGTGTTGTTTAGCTAGTTTTTCCATTTTGTTCCTTGTTCCTATTAATCTTCATTTACTCTGAATTGCTATATCCAGATTCTTTTTCCAAAAATTGCTTGGATTAAGTTGTGTTTTTATCCCAACTAATTGTAGCACTGTAACATCATTCCATACCATGTGGGGAAAAGCCTATTATGTTTCTTGTTGATCACAGCATATGCCTTTCTTTTCCTTACCACAAGATCTGTGAGACTGCAAGGTCATATTGTGTTTGCAAGCTAACATGTTATTCTGTGGATCCTGGCAAAACTCTTGTTTCCTAGGTTAGAGTCAAGAATGGTTTAGACTCACAACACTCACAGTAGCAGCAGTTTTTCTTGTACTGTTTTTCCAGGCCCCAATTCTCAGAGGTCGATGTAATGAGGGAAGCACAGGTTACAGCTCTGTAAGTGGCCATCATTGCATTTCAGAAAAGGACCCTGAACATTTTCTAAATCTGTCTGCTTATTCCTTTTGTTTGCTCTTCTGTTCTATTCTCAGAATTTCTGTCTACGTCATTCTACTGTATGACTCCATCTCAGACAGATGCATCTTTCATATCTGTCATTGTAGACTTTATCTTTGAATTGCTGCTTGTCAGGTCATCATCCCCCAACTATGTTCTCTTCTCTCCAGATGCTCCAGTGACCATGCTTGATTTGCACAGTGGCCTCCATGTTTTCTGTTATGCACAGTTTATAAGCCCTGTTGTCTTCTTTGCCATAGTTTGCTTTGGTCAGTATCTTCATAAACAGTGCCTTCAGAGACTGTTTTTCTTTTCTAGTTTCCTGTACAACCCTTCAGGTTAGCATGTTGGCCAGAAATGTGTTTGCAAGGAACAAATAAGTCATCCCATAATAAGTGTAATAGAGATTTATTTCTGTGTGTGTGTGTGTGTGTAGAAAGTCTGGAGGTAGATAATTTCTGGTGTTGATTCAGCTTTTTATCAACCTTTTTTTCTAAGCTTTTTCAAAACGTTCTCAGCATCAGAAATTCTTTTATCTGTATCTGTCATTCCAAATTAGGTTCTTTAAATGACAAGGCTTTTTGTAGTTCTAACTCCCCAAGTGAAAATACTCTTCCTTTATATTCTCATAGACAGTACTAAGCTAGGTAATGGCCTTTATCACTAAGTTACCTGTATGTGTCATATCTTACTTTTTAAACTATAAATTCCTTCTTAGTAGTATAGCTTTTGTCCTCCTTTGCAAACTTTAACACATTGGTGACAGGGCTGTAATTTGCATGTTGCTGCTGGGGGCCGTGTGGAACCACTGGTGGTGCATGCATGACTATCCCATGTATGATTGTTGCAGTTCTACCACTAGTGGTATAAGCTGCCCAGTGGGGCAGTGATGCATAATCCCAGAGGGTCAGGCCTGCGGGAATGTCTTAAGGTAGGTACAGTTGGTTTACCTACCTGCTGAATGACTAATAAAGAATGGGCAGACATTCCTGTAAAAACCTTGCCATTGCTAATTAGAGCTTAGAGAAAAGATCTATTGTCAGATGTGTGAGTGTGGTGATACCAATGAAGAAATATTAATATACAGGAATTAAATTATATATTGATGAAAAGAACATCTTTATTGTGTAAACTAATTTCTAATTACACAAAACTTCTTTAATGCTATCAAATGTATTTTCACTTGCTATCAAAACATAATACTATTACATGTGGAAATAAAATAGAAACTCTTCTTTCTTTCAGTGCTTAGATGAATATGAAGATGATGAAGCAGGGCAGAAGGAACGGAAAAGAGAAGATGCAATTACACAACAGAACACGACACAGAATGAAGCTGTAAGCTTATTAGACCCAGGCAGTTCCTATTTGCCACAGGTGAGTATTTAAAAGTACCAGGAAGTTAGTAGTTATTTTAGCAATTTCTAAGTCTCTGTTAGCAATTTTTCCAGTCTCATTTTGATAGCATCAGCTTCTTTTAAGTACTTTGAATCGATTTAACCACTGCTTTTCTCTACATCCAAATACTTTTTTCTTGAGCACTGTTTAGTGCTCAGTTCCTGATCAATGAATATTTGTTAATTGTCTTGACTAGCAGGTTTAAGTAATATGAACTGTAAAAATAATCAAGAAAAATAATTACCTTTTTATTGTTAAAAGAAAGTAAATAGTAAGTTGAACTGAGTGGCCAGGACTGCTTTAGACAGATTTTTGAATTAGAATTACAAAGCCAATTAAAAGTTCATTAGATTATTTATCTCAAGTCAAATGTTTAAACACAGTAAACACAACATAAAGCATTAAAAATTGCCAGAAATATCTATGTTTTTATGTAATAATATTTTTAAAATAAAATTTAACTCAGTTTCAAATTACCTGTTATTTTAGACTCTTGTGGTACAGAAAATTGGGTTTATGTAAGTGGTGTAGGGTGGCCTTAGTATAAAACAAATCACTCCATAGAACCTTTTTTTTTTGGTGGGGGCAGGTATTGAACCCAAGCCCTTACACATTCGAAGTACATGCGGTATCACTGAGTTATCTTCTTAGCCCCAGGAGCTGTAATTTAGAAATAGCCTTAACAGAATCTAGTCGTAAATTATCTTTGTGGCATTTTTGAGATCTTAAGCTTACTTTGTCTTTGTAGAGTTCCTCTCTCAGCTTTCTTTTCTTTTTTTTGGTAGTGGCCCTCAAACTCGGCCTCATGTTTGCCAGGCAGCACTGCTATCTCAGCTTTCTAAATGCATTTCATTGACACTTTAAGAGGAATTTTAGAGGCGTACAGAAGTCTGCCAGTTCTACTGGTGAAAAGATGAAATGTAATCAAGGTTATGATGGCATTTGCAGAGAGGGGCAAAATATAATCTTGAAATGATTAGGAAGTATAGATGCAAACTTTATTCTCCGTTACTTTTATAGGCAGTGTCCTGTGTGATAACTCATGGGATTATGTGGGCTTATCTGTTCCCCCTTATCCCTTTAAGTTGCTGCCACTGCAGACGATAATTATCACAGTTCTAGAAGTATCTCATTGTAGCATGGTATAAGGTAACAACCAATATTTCTCTTAGCATCTTTGTGATTGTTTATAATCTAAAATACCTTTCTTTGTCTAACAAAGTTGAAATTGAATCTAAATTATTTCAATGAAGACTTCCCACAAGATGAAGGCTTAATTTATTGGGCTAGAGATAATGTAGCATTTTAATTGAGACTCTGGACCTGGTTTTAGTTTGTGGCCCTGCTATTGCTTGCCTTGACAAAATCAAATGGTGGCATATGTAAATAATATCAGGCAGCATTTTTAGAAAGATGGTCATTTAGTTTCTGTGGAATGAGGGCTATAGAGTCTACTCACAGTCTAATATTATTCCCAGATACGCACATAGATATGAACTCTCCTGATCTGGGCTCTGAAGAGCTCTCTACTTGACTGAGTTTGCCTTCTTTCCTGAGGCTTTTTAAATTGGTTCTTAGGCCTACTCTTCATTTCTCCCATTTTTGTTTGTTTATTTTGTTAGTATGCCTTGTGAAAGGTCTGTGAAACAATATTTTGATTTTGATTAAAAATTTTCATATAATACAAAATGAAAAGTCAGAAGTTTTATTTTAACTATGATTTTATTTATATTTAAATTTGTACAGATAATTATATTAGTTTATGGGATAAAATTTAATTTTTGGATTAAATGATTCATGATCAGTGAAATTTGGAAAATCATAAAACATGTAGAAAAGGGAAAGTGCTTGGGTTGGTCAGTTTCTTTATGTGTTGTTTTCCTATGAAGTATTTAAATTTTAAGCTTTACACTTAATATATTATCACCAAGTACTGTGGCATACCCATGTAATCCCAAGTACTTGGGAGGCTGAGGCAGTGAGATTTGAGAGTTCAAGCCAGTGTGAGTGATATAGAGCAAGACCCTGTTCCAGAACAGCGTGTCATAAATCAAGGGCTATGGATTTGTTACTGGTTGATTTGAATAACTTTAGTATTAATTTGCTGTTCTTCTGGGCTTGTGTTTGTCTGATCTTATTTTACAAATGCTTTTTCTTGTTTATACAAGTTGTGGTCTTCCACTGCACCTGTAAATAACTGTGTTCATGGGATTTCCTTATTTGCCATTGTAAGCTTGAATGAAGCAGAATATTTTATTTAAACTTTCACAAAGCAGTTTGTGCTTTGCCAAGATTATCTCAGCTCTACCTGGATATTTCCCTTTCTTTGTAGTAATAGAAACTATCATATTGCAAAGAAGATTAGTTCAGGGAAAGTGTATTTGAAACCAGTTATATAACAGATTTTGCAGTTTTCAGAGTCTGTAGTTACATAATCTGAAACTTTTCAGACCAGTTTTAATCTTAGATGTGATTTTTACAAGCAGGTTCAATGAGAATGGTATTTCTGTATTCTTACTGCATGAAGAATGGAACTGTTAACTTTAACAGTTATAGTAGTTATTAATATGTTACTAATAATGATATAGTTAATTTCCTTTGCCTGCAAGTTTTTTTGGCCACAGAAATAAAGAGGTTTCTATTTAGCAAGTGTATGGTGAAGTTTATAGTTTTATTGAAATTTTTCTAACATGAAGTAGTGTTTAATGTTTCCTCCTTAAAATTGCAAGGGAGTCTGCAGGGCATTGTTGGTGGTACACACCTATAATCCCAGCATTCCAGTAGACTGAGGCAAGAATATTGCCAGTTTAACCCCAGTCTGGGCAATTTAGTGACTTAGTGAGACCCTGTCTCAAAATAGAAAAAAGGCTGGGGATATAGTGTGAAGGTACTATATTCAATCTCAAGTACTGGGGAGAAATATTTACTTGTAATTATTTTTGCTGCACAATATGGATCAGTTTTGTTTTTTCCCTCTACTGTCTCTAAGTCAATATATGTGCACTTTTCTCTTTTTGGACATGAGTATAGAGATCATTTTATAAATGTAAAGTTCAAATACATGTTAGAAATAGGCTACTGCCCCTTCTAATTTCTGCTAATACTAATACAATGTAGACTGTCCAATTTGGGGAATATTCCATTGTTAAAGTTTGTGATTTTTAAATTTATTTTTATTAGTACATGTGTGTAGTACATAATATTTACCTTCCTCATGTGGAGTTGTACATGTACATTGTACATCTCAAACCTTTTTTCATCCTTTTTTCCTCCTCTCCACGCATTGGGGTTCTTTTTAGAAAGTCCTTGCCTATTCCTTTGTCCTGAGAGCTTTACCTATTTTATCTTCCAGCAGATTCAGTTTTATTATTTAAATCTCTGGTCCATTTTTATTTTATTTTAATATAGGTTCTGAGTTAAGGTTCTAACTTCAATCTCCTGCATGTAGAGAGCCAGTTTTCCCAGTAGCATTTGCTGAAGAGCTGATCTTTCCTCTAGCATATCTTTTTGGCCTCTGTCAAAGATCAGGTGGCTGAATATGCATGCAGTTGTTTCTGCATCATCTTTTCTGTTCCACTGATCACCTGTCTGTTGTTGTGCCAGTATCACATTAGTTTTATGACTGTAACTTTGTAATACAACTTCAAGTCTGGGACTGTGATACCTCCTGTCTTGCTTTTATTGCCCAGAATTATGTTTGCTATTCTGGATCTCTTCTGGTTACATATGAATTTTAGGATTGTTTTTCCTAGTTCTGTGAGCAAATATAAATACACACACATATTTACACATTATATCAGTTTTGGTAGTTTAGCCAGTTTAATAATACTGGTCCTTCCAATCCAGGAATGTAATATCTTGTCATTTTCTGATGCCCACCTCAGCCTTTTTCAGAGTGCTATATTTTTAAAAAAAATTTTTTTAGCACATGTGTAGTAGATTGATAACTGGTGGTCAACTTATGACCCCCAGCTGAACTGAGTGAGTGTGGTGCTGGGTGTGGCAGGCCCACCTGAGGACTATTGCCAGTAGCATAAGAGGCATACCTGGAGAAGAAGAAGCAGGCTGTTGGGAGCTGGTAGAAGCTGTAGGGAGCTGGCTTTCCTGATGAACTTGGCTGTTTTCATCCTCCGAGGAGCTCGGGACCTCACTGGCACTGAGATGGCTTTGGTTCACCTTGGGGGAGCTCTGGTCCTCACTTTGAGCATCGCTTCCTGGCTCCAGTGCAGATCCTTCACCCTGCTAGCACAGGTCCTTCATCCTGTTGACACAGACTTTGTAGATTCCACCGATGACCTTTGGGCCTTCCCAGCAGATCCATGAAACTGGCCTGCATGAGATGTTGTCATGGGCTCTGGGCCTCCAGTGGATTCGTGGGAGGCATTGTTATGAGTTCTAGGTATTTAGCTGGACTCATGTAGGACATTGTTGCAGGATCCAGGCCCTCAGCTGGATCCCTTGGTCTTAGTGTGTGGACAGATCTCCTGCACTCTTCTGTATATTGTTCTTTGGGTGACTATTATGAATAATCATATAAAGTATGTATCCTGTATTATATTGTTCCCTGTGCAAAATAAGCCCCAAACCAACACAACATGTATGTGGTATATGATGATTACATTCATTATAGGGAGTTGGTACCTGTACATGACACATCTGAATTTTTTTCTTTCCCCTTCTACTCTCCCTTGTTCCCTTTCCTATCTGAACATTTTTTTCCTGCTTTCCAATATCTTTCATCTATTTTGGTCCTTATTTGTTTTTTTTTTTTGTTGGTTAATACCTAAGTATTTAATTTTTATTGAAGCTGTTGTGAATGGTGTTATTTTCCTAATTTTTTTTCTTAGTGGACTCACCATTGGTGTACAGCAACACTATAGATTTTTGTGTGTTAATTTGGTATTAGATACCTTACTGAATTTGTTTATTAGTTTTAGGAATCTTGATGGGATTTTTATGTAAGGTTCATATTGTCTGTG